GGGTAAGCTCGAAACCGTTCGTTTACGCGAATGCNCGAGTAACATAGTCGTGGAAGCGCGGCGCAAGTAATCGAACGCGAAATTTAAATGGCTGTATAGGTAACTAGATCAAATCCCGTCTACCTTTAAAATTCAATAGCAATAAATCAAGTCGTGTTATTCAATAGAGACGTGGATACTAAATATTACATAATATGTTATTGTTATGTGCTACGACAATATTTTACCTGTATCGACCTGTCTTCGTGTATTTTTAAGTCTGATTGAATATGATTTACAGTCCTATATTTTTTACTTGAAGTATAGTCCGAAACACTAACCAACTAGTTTATCCGAACTCTAGTGCATTTGGCCACTCGTGGTCGTGTGAAAAATATCTATCATGTTTGATATTTTTGACCACTCGTGGCCGATGGCACCGTGTGCGGGTAGCCGTGCGCGACTTTCTCAGACAACGAACACAACGTGCATGCGTTATTGGTATTCAACGATGGCAGCGCCCAGTGAAGAGGTGACAGAATCAATCCTTGAGGTTAAATTTGTTGAATTATGGCAAGATTACCCCTACCTTTATAATATCCGATCGCCTGAATTTAAACTAGGACAAGCGTGACTATCACTGTAGTGGTCCGCCATTTTGATTGATCATGTGATAGGCTGACGTCAGATATAGTTGAGCGAAAGGCACATCGTGTACGGGGAGGAAGCGGGTGCTATTGGCGCGCGCCAAATTCTCTCTGTGTGCGGGAGCCTTAAACGTGACCATACCACAACTATGTATCATAACAGAAGCACTCCATAGAGCCAGAGTTTCCGGGCTATAAGGAATCCAACTAAGGATATTTCTAAAACATTTTTATTTTAGTTTAATTTTTTTAACATTTTTGTTATATGTACATTTAGATGGTAGAAAATGTTTTGATCATAAAAACGACAATATACAAACACATTTAGGTATTATTTCAATAGCTAGCTGTTGGTATAAATTATATAACTGAAATGCATAGTGACTACAATATGATCTTTTGTCACTAACAATAAAAAAAAAAGTCATCAAAAGTCAAGAATTGTACCTTAAAGTGATACTACCTCTTGGGATGAATATAAAATTTAAGTTCTCGAAATGGTCAATATGAGTATATATTCATCAGTAAACTTACCTGGTGTCATAAAGTTACAACAGAATCCCTGTAAAATCTAGAAAATTGGAAAATTCATAAAACTAAGTAATTATTGAAAAACACCTAATCTTGATATTAGGCGTTTTTCAATAGTTAATTGCATATTTATGGATAATTACTAAGTTTTTTGGATTTATCAGATTATATAAGGATCCTGTTATGTTATTTATGATACCAGGTATATCTACTGGCTCTTATTGGTCAAGTTTAAAATTCTTAAATTTTTTGACTATCTTAAAGCAGTGATATAAGAGGTTGCTTTGGTCTGTGTTTTCAGGAATTGTGTGTCCAGAACTGAGAGGCCTAAAGGTAGCTTAAATTACACAAAGAACAATGATAAATGTACAATAATTTCTATTACCATGAGCTATGCTTCCGTGAGTCAAATAAGAAAATGGCATTCAACCCAAATAAAACAAAGAATAATGATAATGTACAATAATTTCTATTACCATGAGCTATGCTTCCGAGAGTCAAATAAGAAAATGGCATTCAACCCAAA